CTGCGCTGTGTGTCCCATGCATGCGCCATCCAAATCCGTCAGCCACTCTCCGGCAAGCAGGGCTCTCCACGCCGGTAGAGTAGGGCCCATCCCCAACCGCGTGCATAGCCACAAGGATGGAGAGAACCCACCCCCCAGGCCTCACTGCGGCAGCCACTGAGATGGGTGCAAATCAATGTCATGTAGTCTGACTGTCCTCGGGGGGCCCTGGCTTCAGCAGCAGGCCGGGCTCCCAGCTGTTCCTCTTTGGAGGTGACCCCGGCTTGTACAACCCACTCTGGCCAGGCAGCTCGGGTGACCCCGGTTAGGTCTTCAGTAGGAACATGCACATTTGTGTAGGTTAGGTTTGAGCACTGGGCAGTTGCCCTTTCACCCCAGGAGCCCACCCCAGTGCTCTTGCCCGGTTCGGATCCTTAGCTCCCCTGATCTGCACCATCCGCGTACGTGCCACATGCACCTGTAAGACGCCCGGCAGCCCCGCCCTGCGAGCCTGGGCACCCCAGCCCGGCCTCACTCACCATCGCTCTGGGGTGGCTGCGGCAAGAAAATGGGTAACAGTCGGTCCCCCGTGCGGTCTTGCTGCCTGACGGGGTCCCCGGCTTCACAGGTGACTCCTAATGGACCGATACCCCGTCCTGCCTGGCCGCCCTCTTCCTCACCAGGGAGTCAATAGACTCCAGCTGTGACTTAGGGCGGGGCAGGGGCCATACCCCACCGGGGTAGGTAAGCCTTGCCCTAAGGCTGAAGTTCCGGCCCCTAAGGGCCCTCTCTTGTGACCTGGCCTCTCCTGACAGGTGCCCTGTCCCAGGTCCCAGACAACAACAATCTACTCATCCAGGAGATGCACATTTCATATCGCATCAACCGCCCTTGGGTGGTTGGGGGCCCCCACGCCTGTGGAGCTACAACCCGTCCCCAACTACTTGCTCAGCCTCAAGGATGGAGGGATCCCACCGCCCCTCTGGGGACATGGCTCTGGGGTGGCTGCTGAAATGAGCGACAGTCAGGGCCCACCTGGACTTCCCAGGACTCCCACATGGACTTCCTCCCAGGTGGCTCTTAATGGAGGCTACTCTGGCCCATTTGGCAGATCCGACCCCGGCAAGGCATTACAGATGATGCCAGGGAGGCATTCCTGGGGAATAGGGACATTTGCATTGGTTAGGCCTTGAAGTCAGGCAGTTGCCTTGTAACCCCAAGAGCTCTGAATACCGGAATTCCCCTCGCCCTGCTGGCTCACTGGCTACACCGACCACTGGGATCCACGCACATGCACACTTACACTGTCAGGGGCCTTTGGCAGCCTTGGCGCTCCAGGCCTGGGAGCTGGGCCCCCACCAACTGCTTCGCGTCTTGGGCATCAGGAGCCCACCCTCCAAAATCTTTCTGACTTGGGGCACCACACTGGCCACAGTAAGCCCCTATGTGCAATTTATTATGCCTTTTGGGTCCTGGGTGGATCCGTTGTCAAGGTTCACGGGTGTTCCTTAGTGAAGGACACCCAAGCCATCCCGTACCCCCTGCCACACCCTGGTAAGACCGTCCAGATTCGTCGAGCTCTGCCTTCAGGGGTAATATGTGAATTTGTGTGAGTTGAGGCTCGCAATTAGACAGGGGCCTTGTATTCCCAACAGACTGTCCTCATTACCAGGATTCTCCCAACATTGCCCATCAAGGGCCCAGCTTCCTGACCTGCAGGGCCCACCCACGGGCAGTCTGCCCTCTTTCAACAGTTTTGAACAAGTGGGGGCCACTCCTAGTCTGTGGAGCTCAGACTGGTCCCCACCCATGTATATAACGTCCTGGGTGTAGGAAGACCACCCTTTGAAAGTCTTCGTGAGGCGGCAGCTTTATCCTGGCAACATTCTGTCCTCATTCACGCTGGCTGCAGAATGGAGTCTCTGGATTTCCCAGTTATCAAGGCTCCAAGTAGCTCTCAGTGAAGGAAACCCCCACTGGGTGGGCCAGGACCAATCCTGGAAGGGCAGTCCAGATTCCTGTAGTTTCATCTTCAAGGGAAGTATGCCCATTTGTGTATGTTAGAGCTTGGAAGTACGGAAGAGACCACGGACTCCCAAGAGCCAGCTCTGGACCCTAGATTCCCCTGATGTTGCCCAGTCCCAGTCCCTGGTTTTGCTGATCTGTATGATCTGCGTGTGTGCAGTGTCCAGCCCATCAGCGCCCCCATCCGCATCATGGGCCTCTGGGAGCCATGGCCCAGGCCGGCCACCTTCATGTAGTATCAGGTGTGGAGTGAGGCCGCCCACCATTCAGTGCTCTGAGACAGCTGCTGAAATGGGTGAGCCTGTCCCTTTCGGACTTCCTGCCAGCTGGGGTCCCAGGCTTCTGCAGCAACAAAGGCTCCAGGCGTCTCTGATGGAGGATACGTGGGCCAACCGCATTTTCCACTCTCTGCCTTCCACAGCCCTGACAAAGCAGCCCAGAATCCTCCGTGTGGCCTTTGCAGAGAATATACACATCTGTGTAGGTTAGGGCTTAGAATCAGGCAGATGACTTAGACCCATGGTAGCCCGCTGCCATGCCTGGTCTATCCTTACACTTACCCTGTGCAAGTGCCTGGTGACCTTGACTGCTGTGAACTGCGCGTGCACAGTACGTGCCCTGCCATCCAAACTTGGGCAGCCAGAACTCTCCAGAACTGTGGAGCTCGGGTTCATCCCTAGCCACCCGCATGGTCTGAAGTGTGGAGGGAGCCCACCTGAAAATCACTCTGAGGCATCAGCTAAAATGTGTGGCAGTCCCCATGTGGACTGGCTGGCTGTCGGGTCCTGGGCCTCTGCTGTGATCAAGGCTCCCAGTTGTCTCTTACTGGAAGATACCCTGACCAGGCCTTGAAATCCAGCCCGGGCAAGGCAATCCACACTCCTCCAGCTTTGCCTTCAGGGGAAATATTCACATTAGATGCCACGGATCCCCAAGAGACCCTCCTTGCGATCTTGTTCTCCTGATACTGCCCAGTTCCAGTGACCTTGGCTGCCCTAATGAACACAGACCTTATCAGCAGTCCTTCCCAACCACCTGCACAGCCCCCGGGCAGAGGAGAGTGCCCCTCGGAATCTTTCAGAGGGGACAGCTTTAAACTGGCAACAGTCCCCATGTGGACTGGATGCCTACTGGTATCCTGGGGGTCTCTCAGTGAAAGCTATCGCAGCCAGTGTGCCCACCCCACCTTGGCAAAGCCGTCCACGGTCCTCCAGCTGTGCCCACAGGGCAGTATGTGTGTGAGCATAGATAAAGGCTCAGAATTAGGCAGAGGCTTTATGCTCTCAACAACCCACTCTGGGAGCAGCCATCACCCGGCACTGCGGGGAGCCCTCGTGAAGTCTGTTCACACCCCTGCAGCCTGCCTGGGGCAGTGGAGACCCTCTAGCCCTGTAGAATGTCTACTGGTCTTTAACCATCTGTATGGGCTCCATGGTGGAAGAAGCCTGCTCCCTAAAATCTTTCTTAGCCGGTTGGTTCATACTGGAGAAAGTCCCCATTTGCTGGCTGCCTGATGTGGTTTCGGGTTTCTCCAGCAATCAAAGCTCCCAGGTGTCTCTGTGTGAAGGCGAACCCTACCAACAGCTCTCCTTGACAAGGCAGGACTGAGTCCTCCAGCCTTACCTTCAGGGGAACTACTGAATTGCAATTGTGTAGCTTAAGGACTGAGAATTAGGCAGATGCCATAGTGCCGCCAAGATCCTGCATTTTAGACCCGGCCTCTCCCGACACTCGCCAGTGGCAAGTTCCGTGGTTTCCTTGACCTGCACCGCCCATACACGCACAGCACAAGCTGTTGGCCAGTCTTGGGCAACTAGAGCCTCTGGGCCTGTGGAGTTCAGGCCCGTCCCCCATCACCAGCCCTAACTTGATGTAACATCAAGTCCTCGTTTTGACTGCTTGATGGAATTCAGGGCTTATCAGGAATCTAAGCTCCCAGGAGTCTCTTAGAGGATCTCCCCGATAGCTTGCCTGGCCCTGCCCTGGCAAGATGGTTCAGATTCCTCCAGCTTTGCCTTCAGGGGGAATATGCATATTTGTCGAGGTTAGGTCTTGAAATAAGGCAAATGCTGTGGACCCCCATGGCCCATTTGTGACATCTGGCCTCTCCCTACACCTGGCCTGTTCCATGCCCCTGCCTACCATGACCTGCATGGCCCATGTATGCACCCCCATGAGTTGGCTCTGGCCGCTGTGGTCCTGCAGACCCATGGAGCTCAGGCTGGTCTCCAACCACCTGTATAGCCTTGTCCAGTGGGAGCCCAACTACGGAAATCGTCGAGGCTGCAGCTTAAAACTGGCAACAGTCATTCCCAGTTGTGGTGGGCTGCCTGATGTGGTCCCAGGCTTCTCCAGAAATCAAGCCCCTTGGGTGTCTGTAATCAGAACATACCCAGGCCAGCTCTGCAGGTTCAACAGGGTCATGAGCTGGAGGGGGATAGGTCACAGGCTTGCTGAGCCTTACCACAAAGCTTGGAGGCTTTCAAAGGAAATACATTTAAACTATTTTATTAATTTTTTAAAAATACAAACAGAAACAATAGCATTATTACTTTTAGTGATAGGAAGTCCCTGGAACTTCTCTGCCAATCTTTGAAAACGAACTGGGAAACTTAAATTTACCGCAAAGGTGAAAAACCTCCAAAGTCCAGAGACAGTGTCTGATTCTACACCAGTTTCTTCTAGAAGTCTGGTATCACTCAAGAAGTAATTCGTCTTAAAGCAGAATGTAATTAGAGTTTTTCTGTGATAATAATTAAACAGTGATGTCTGGTATCATGTATGGTATCATATGCCCACAAGTCCCTGTTCTAAGTAAAAAAAACAGACTCCGAAAGTAATGAAAGATTAACTACCAGATACCCAAAAGAAAATCTAGAAACTTGAAAAACAAAACAACTGAATAAAAATTAACTTAAGAGGACATTAGATAATAAATTTTAATTATTTCACATTTAAAAAATATAAAGTTTTATGTTTTAAAAATAATCATTTTATTCATGAACAGAGCCAAAACGAATATACTGCTTCTTTTTAAAAAGTAAGTTTTGAAATAGTAGATAGAAAACTGACAATAGTTTTAGTTGATTGCACTTATACAAGGAAGGAAAAGTGTTTTTTTAACAAAGCCTGAACATTAAAAAAAAAAAAGTGCCATTTTAAAAGCTTTTGCTAAATTATATTGAAAGGAAGTGATGAAAAACCACATTCAACTGAATGAAGAAACAAAAGTTTTTGTTTCATCGGTGATTCAAATCACTGATAGAGGAAATCGTTATACACATTTCATACTGGTTCTTCATAGATCTGAGGTAGCACAGGTCAGCAGGCCATCAGAACAATTCTACAAGGCACCATTGGTTTTGTGTGACAGAACACTAGCTGGCACCTGAGATCTAGAAATACAGAAAAAAATTCAAACGTGATATATAATTTTTCTTCAATTTTCTCTGATTTTATATTGGATTGATACTGATATGATATTTACTATGCTTTGTCTTTTTGTTCAGGCAGGTCTTTCCTCAAATCTACTTGAGAGATTCCTTCACAAAGTTGCAAATGTAAATAGTTCTTTCAGGTACGTCCCTACACTCAACTGAACACCACCTTAAGGCCCCGGTTAGAACAGATTGATATGTTTTTCCTGTGACAGATATTTTCCAATAGGTTCCTCTCCCATGTCTCCGTAATCTCCTTTTCGGGATCAATAAAGATCCCTGTATCTTCCTAGTGTTTCAAAAAATCCTTCCATGTTTTAATCATGTGACTTCCTTCATGCTTTAATCGTCAAAATGCTTAAAGCATGAAGGAAGTCACATGATTAAAGGATGGAAGCGTTCTGGAAACACTAGGAAGATCTATATACATACACACACATATATATTATATATACATACATATTCCACTCTCACAACAGCAGATGCCAAAATTTAGTTGCAATATTCCAAGATCATTGTAATAGTCCCCAGGTATGCCGTGTCATGGAACAGACCTTTCCTTAGGTCAAGATAATTTTAGTAGAGTTCTGCCTTCAGAGCTGCAAGGCCCACCAACTACTATCTCCATGAACACTGTTCTCAATCTTTCTTATAATCACAGAACACGGTTCAACAACTAATATTGGTCACTAAAACCTCTTAGAATCTATTTACCATGTCTGCTTCCTTTTGCAAAGTATAATACCTCTTGCATTTAATTGTTAGCCTAATGGTATTTCTAACCATCTAGTCGAGAAATGAGCTGCATTATATAATGTTCCATCACTGTGTAACAAGTAAACAGCATGGTGCAGTTAGTTACTGTACCCATATAAAACCTACTGTTCAATTAGTTCTTAAAAATCTGCATTCTGCTTAAATGGCACTCAAACTCTCATCCTAGACAATTATAAAATTCCATTCAGGGGAGACAGAAATGATGGTCAACAGAAATTAACAACAGCGTCAGAAATATGCTTACCAAATACTAACTTATACATTCTTCTTTTCATCTGTACGTCTTTATCTTTCATAAATAGCACGTCTGTACAATAAACCTATATTTCATCTTCTTCCAACTCATAAGATTTAATACATTCATTATTTTCCTATCTTCTAATTTTTTTTTTCACTTAATCAGCAATTTTCAAATTTCATTATCAGTGGAACTCTTTGTTCCAACGAAATCTTATGGAGGGAGACTCCCACTATATAAAGTGGTCAAAAGCAGAACTGCTCTGATCAGAAGGGGAGAGCTGTCAGTAGACACAGCTTAGAAACCACTGCTCTAAAACATTCAAGAAGCTGAAGAAAAGATATCGTCCACTGGAACTTCTTCATTTCCAATGATTATAAACAATCTGCCCCTTGTTTCCACTTTTTAAGAACATTTCTTAAGGACAGCTACTTTTACCTCAGCCCATTAATGGAATAAAAAGCATAGAGCCTTATATATAGCTAAGTATTTGAATTCATATTTCTTTTTAAACTATTCAAAAATGCAAATTAGTGTAAGATGTAATCCCATGACTGGTTACTAAAATCAGTTTAAAAAATATTTAAGATGTGATAGAAAAAAGTTTTTAATTACCATTGCTTCGTAACTGTAATTGCTCTAGTCCAAGTCCAACACTAGCCAAAAGGCTCGTTAATCAAGAAAACAAAAATCACTCTGTAGTCATTCTGAGAAGGTTTTATCTTCTCATGAAATGATTCTGTGGCTATATTTTTGGATTAAAAAAAAAAAGTTATATATTCTATGCATATTTTAAACCTGATTGGCTTGAAAGGCCAGGAAAAGAGGTCACGTTTTGTCAAACTTAGAAAGATAATACAAAAGTTAAAAAATGAAAAAAATTTTTTTTCTAAAATAAGCTCCTTTGTGCTTGCCAGGCTTTTCATCAACCTCCTTCCACAGAAACAGGTTTTTACACTGACTTTTTAATAAATCCGTGCCTTCCGAAACCGACTCGGTGCTTAGCTTATAAAAAAACACCCCTGTTCTTCTATGTTCCTCACAGGCTGGACGGGCAGCACCAGGTGTGAAATGCGGCTCCAGAGCCCACTCAGCTTGTCTGAGTCCATGTGGTTGAAGGAGCGGGGAGTGTCGGAGTTGGTAAACCTGGCCCAGAGTAAATCTCTCACTTTTTCCTCAGTTTCTCTTGGGCCAACACTTGCTTCTAACGTTTCCTCCTCCAGGAGAACAGTCAGCACCAGGGCCACGTCTTTGAAGGCAGCATTCTCATGGTCACAATACTTGTAGAAGATCAGGGTAGAGCCCGCGGGAAGGGATTCGAAGTGGTGTACCACAGCAGCCTTCTGGCCATTCTCGAATCCCGAGCTCAGCTCCATGTCAACCAAGTGCTTGACCGTGTCACTGTCCTCCAAGGTTCTTCCAGCCCCGTCGATCTGAATGGCGGAGACTTTCTGGGAGGAGGTGTAGGCATCTGCGACGAGGTGACTCAGGCACTTCAGGGTCTCTCTTCCCTCTTGAGCTGCTGTAAATATGATGGTGGCTGGCTCGGTGGGGTTCGAAGCATTGAGGTGCTTCTGGAGAAATTTACGTCCTCTCTGCCACAAGAAGGAGCTCTGGCCTGGGAATTTATCCTTCAATTGGCTAAACTGAGCCAAAAAGGCCTCTAAAGCTGGATTTTTGGGCACTTGCTGGGCTGGAGAGGAACAGTAGCTATTAACAAAACTTATCAAAACAACAGTCATAACCAGGGAGCAAAGAAAGATGGAGCCTGTCAGAAAATAGGATAAAAAAATACAAAATTAGAACATCGACCAGAAACAAAACCTGAGGTAAACTGAAATGCATTAGAGATACTGTCAGATTTTACTAACTGTGGAGAGTTTCTTCTACCTATATCCTCTAAAGTTTGAGATATTAAGGTCTTCCAAAAATACTTACTCTCTAAGTTCTTAAGTTATTTGAAGATAAAATATTTTTGTTAAAAGGTGTAAGTTAAGTTTATGTATTTGTTGCTATGACTAATGATGTGACTTGGAACTACCGGGACAGTCTTCCACCTTCTCGTTACCCACAATAAGCCAATTCGTTCTTTATGGGTCAAAATGTGGAAATGCCACTTGAGAAGTTAATAAATACTCTGTAATAAAAAGCAGTTTTAGTTTCTTATTTATGAAAAGCCTTTCCTCCTATGGGAATTCCCATTTTGTTAAGGATGGCAAAATACATGCCACGGCCCCTAAAGGAAAAATCCTTAAAACTCTATTGCTCTGGGGCGCCTGGGTGGTTCAGAGGGTTAAGCCTCTGCCTTTGGATCAGGTCATGATCTCAGGGTCCTGGGATCGAGCCCCACATCGGGCTCTCTGCTCAGGAGGGAGCCTACTTCCCCCTCTCTCTCTGCCTGCCTCTCTGCCTACTTGTGATCTCTGTCTGTCAAATAAATAAATAAAATCTTAAAAAACAAACAAAAAAAAACCCCTCTATTGCTCTATTTCACTATTAGTTATTATCAAACACTTTTTAAAAACATATTAAAACAAGCCATAGTAATTAGACACCAAAGAGAAATAAGAGGCTTCTAAATTGGTAAGGAAGTAAAACTTTCACTATTTGCAGATGACACAATATTCTATATAGAAAACCCTAAAGACACGACCAGAAAACTACTGGAACTCATAACTGAATTCAGTAAAGTCGCTGGATACAAAATCAATGTGCAGAAATCTGGTGCATTTGTATAGGCTAATAATGAGGCCACAGAAAGAGAAATCAAGAAAACAATCCCACCTGCACACCAAAAATAAAAAGATACTTTGGAATAAAATTAACCAATGAGGTGAAAGACCTGTACTCTGAAAACTAAGGAACGCTGATGAAAGAAATTGAAGATGGCACCAAGAAATGGAAAGACATTTCATGCTCATGGACTGGAAGAACAAATATTATTAAAATGGCGAACTGCCCACAGCAATCTACAGATTTAATGCAATCCCTATCATGACATCAATAGTATTTTTCACAGAACTAGAACAGATAATCCTAAAATATATATGGAACCACAAAAGGTCCCGAAGAGCCAAAACAGTTTTGAAAAAGAAAAGCAAAGCTGGAGGTATTAGCATTCCAGACTTGCAGGTACATTATGAAGTGGTAGTGATCAAACAGGGCAGTACTGGCACGAAAACAGCCACGCAGATCAATGGAACAGAACCGAAAACCCAGATATAAACCCACGCCTTTATGGTCAATTAGTCTTCGACAAAGAGGAAAGAAAATCCAATGGGGGAAAAAGATGATTTCTCCAACAAATGGCGATGGGCAAGCCGGACAGCGACATGCAAAAGAATGAAACTAAATCACTTTCTTACACCATACACAAAATCAAATTCAAAATGGATTAAAGACCTACATGTGAGACCTGAAACCATAAAAACATAAAATCCTAGAAAAGAACACAGGAAAGTAAGACCTCTGACTCAACCATAGCCACATTTTTCTAGGTATGTCTCCTGAAGCAAAGGATATAAAAGCAAAAATAAACTATTGGGACTACAACAAAATGAAAAGGTTCTGCGCGGCAAAGGAAACAATCAACAAAACTAAAAGGCAACCTACCTAATGGGAGAAGGTATCTGCCGATGACACGTCCGATAAAGGATTAGTATCAAAAATTTATAAAGGGCTTACACCAATCAACACCCAAAAAACAAATAATCAAACTAAGCAGTGGGCAGAAGAAACGAACAGACATTTCTCCAAAGAAGACATCCAGATGGCCAACAGACCCATGAAAAGATGTTCGACATCATTCCTCATCAGAGAAATGCAAATCAGAAGTACAAATAGGTATCACCTTACACCTGTCAGAATGGCAAAGGTCAACAACGTAAGAAACAACAGGTAAAGATGGCGAGGATGCGGAGAAAGGGGAAGGTTCTTACACTGTTGCTGGGAATGTAAGCTCTGGTGGTGCAGCGTCCTCAAAAGTTAAAAATAGAGCTACCCTACTACCCAGTAACTGTGCTATTGTATTTACACAAAAAATACAAAAACATTAACTCAAAAGAGATACACGCACCCCCATGTTTACTGCAGCATTGCCTACCACAGCCAAATTATGGAAGCAGCCTGAGTGTCCAGCAGCAGAGGAGTGGATAAAGATGTGGTGTGTGTGCATATGTACACACACATAATGGAATATTATTCAGCGAAAACAAAATGGAATCTCATCATTTGCAACAACGTGGATGGAGCGAGAAAGTATAATGCTAAATGGAGTCAGTCAGAAAAAGGCAAATACCATATGATTTCAGTCATATGTGGAATTTAAGAAACAAGACAAATGAGCAAGGAAGAAAAGAAGAGACAAACCAAAATCACAGACTCTCTAGAGAGAACAAACTGATGGTCATCAGAGGGGAGAGGTGGGGGGATGGGCACACAGGTGACGGGGATTAAGGAGGACACGTGCCGTGATGGGAACCGAGTGATGGATGGAGTTGCTCAATCACAAGACTGTACACCTGAGACTAACAGAACACTGTAAGTTAACTGTGCTGGAATTGAGACAAAACAGAACAACACGACATAAAACAGTGTTAAAACTGTTGGAATCTGTTAGTTTTCTAGTTCTAGTTTTCTCCTTTTCTCTGAGGATTTCTGAATGTGAATCAACACAACAATAAGACCAATTTTTTTTTTCTCCTACCATAACTCAAAAGATCCTTTTTATCCATCTTTCTTATGGTATCCAGTGCATTCTCTTTGTTTTCTTCCAACTCTTGTGTTTCTTGCTGATGACTCTCAGCCTCTGGGGAGAAAAGGAATATTATTTGCAGAAAATACACTAATGGGGTATCATATACTTTAAAACTCTTACCAAACCAAATCATTAGATTGAGAGGATTTCTGTACTCTGTAAAATCTTATACAAAGCTAACTTTTTTTCTGTCTTTTCCTTAAGGCTAATACTTTTACTCTACTTAGAAGAATAAAATCAAGTGCTGTAAATTCATGTAGGGTTACTGTTGCTACAGTCACTATTCCTCACTGGTCCTCACGTCAAGGACAAAGAAACCAGCATCCTAATATTACAGCCAAACTTATCTACAATGTGTCTCGAGAAAATGTTCAAAATCAAAAAGGGATTTAAGAAGTGTTAGCTGCGGGCACCTAGCTGGCTCAGTTGGGAGAGCATGCAACTCTTGATCTCAGGGTCATGAGTTCAAGCCATACACTGGGTACAGTAGAGCTTACTCAAATAAATAAAGCGTACATAATAAAACACTTAAAAAAATTAAGTGTTAGCTGAACACAAGACTCATTATCACAGGGCAATGGTACTCTAACTCCAGGGCTCAAGTCATGTGGCGAGACTCCAAGTACACAAAAACAGAGACTCTAAGTTTAGAGAGAGGAGAGATTACTGTACAGTTACAAAACAGCTTATAAAAGCAAGTTTGAACTTCTTAGTGAAGGAAGTACAAAAAGCAAGGAATACAAAGTAAAGAAAATTGGTGAAATACATAACAATGTAGGTGTGGGGCGAGATATCAATCTTAAAATGTGTGGGCGAAAAGGAGGGCAGTATTTTGTAGCCCTCTCGGTCACTCTACAGCCGAGATGTGTGCTTACGGTGTACTCCATTAACATAAAGAAATAAGATCATCTCCACCTATAAAGGGTCATGTATTTAGTCAAAGCCCACCCCAAAAAATGGACTTTAAAATATCACATCACAGACTATAAAGGGATCTTTACTGATCCCCTACTGTAGCCTCACCTTACCTATCATGGCAAAAGGTCTAGCGATGTTAAGGGCTTTGCCCAAGGTCACATAAAGCTGAGATTAGAACAAGGCTTCTCAACTGCTAGGTCAGCTCATTCCATTATATTAAGTTGCTTCCTGTGCACAGCGTGCATTTTTTTTTTTTTTTTCACAGCCTGCATTTTTAAAACAATATTTTCTTCCTCTACTCAGTGAACCTGCATACTGGTGAAAATCTCATGGAAGATTAATAGTTCATATAAGTCACATTCATTCATTTATGTAACAACTACTCATAAAGTTGCTTCTCTGTGCCCCGTGCCACAGAAACACAATGAATGACAAAGACATAGTCCTTGCCTTCACTGAAGTTACAAACTATGCTAATTATTAGTGAATGAAACATATTATTTGAGATGTGTCACTGACTTATTGTGAAACACGAATTTCCAGTCCTTAGTCGAGTCCCTGACGAACAGAATGTCTAACATTTTATATTCCTTTGCACTTGGCAAATAGGCATTTTATACTTAGCTCTTCTGTGTACTTACGAAATACAAATCTGACCGTGCAATTATAGACAGTGAGAGCTAGGAGAGACCAGCTTTTGGATAGCTCTTATCCAACTTTTTCATACTACAAATAGGAAACTGAAGTACCAAGGAGTTAAGAAAAACCTGCCCAGGGTCACCCAAGTTAGCAAATGGTAGGGCCACAACTAAAATTCATGTCTCTTTTGTGTTCCAGTTAAGGACTTAGCCACTGCAACTATTATCTTCATAGAAGATAGGATGTTTACTCTCCTTAATATACAAGTGGGGAAAATCATACAGAGAGAAATTAACTGACCTGCTCAAAGTCCTATAAAATATGACTGAGTTAAGGGCACTGGACCATTGATGCTGGTTTTTAAATATACCCATCTCTTGATTTACGTAGCATTTAGTTAAAAAAAAAAAAAAAAGATTTAAAAAATGTTAAGTAAAAATGTGTTCCTAAAAATAAATAAAAGCCAGAGGTGAAGTTTTAAAAAGTCAACCTCTTTTTAAAAATCACACTACATTACTACAAACAGTAAGTAAATAAAAATAGTTTAAGGGCACCTGGTGGCTCAGTCGGTTAAGCGCCTGCCTTGGGCTCAGATCATGATCCCAGGGTCCTGGGATCGAGCCCCACATCAGGCTCCCTGCTCAGCGGTGAGTCTGCCTCTTCCTCTGACCCTTCCCTCTCTCATGCTCTAACTCTCTCTATCTCTGAAACAAATAAAAAAAATTTTTTTAAGTTTAAAAAGGCAGTTTATGTGTTGGAAGCTACTTAAGTAGTGCAACGAGCTAGTCAACGAGATGAGAAACCTCACTATAACCTCAGCTCAGTCACGTCTCTTTAAGTGGCCTTGATCCTATGAAGAGAAGTTCTCTAAAAAGAAGGCCCCTGACCTATGCTGTGTCCTCAGCAACAGAGCAAGACAAAACAGAAGTCCAACGGGCTTCCTCACCTGATGCCAGCAGTCGCCTCCTCACGGTAGCCTGGCTCTCCGGCGCTGCAGGGGAATGCTCAGGGCTCGGGGCACCCCGAGGGTCTGCGGCAGGTGGCTCCGGTGAAACTCCAGGTCCGCTGCTCACCTCCTCAGGCAGGGCTGCAGAGCCGCTCAATAAGACTGCATCTTCTCTTTCTACGCTGTCACTTGGAGATCTGGTGGGTTCTGGTAGGTTCTGTTCTTCCTGAAAACTCTGGTTGTTCTCATGTTGTGTTTTAGCCTTTGGATAGTTCCCATAATTTGTCCCATCTGGACTGTCTGATTGATCATCTGTGTCTGCACTTCCTGTATCTATGATTTCTACCTCTTGGTGGACGACGTCATTGAGACCAGACGCAGAGTCTGGGGTCTGAGCTTCTTCAACGGTACTTTCGGGGACTGTGGTCTCCTGTGCCTGAGGACTTATTGATACGTCATTTTTCAAATCCTTTTGAGGGGCTATTGAGATAAAAATTTATAATTTTTATTGAAAAAAATTCCCTATTTTTTTGTAGTTTAACAAGGTCCCTGATTAATAATGAGTATGTGTATAGATTTGATGGTTTACAGGCACTCTTCCCAAACATTACTTCTCTTGATTTCTACTCAAGGTGGTGAAGAAGGACTTACTATGTGTTAATAGATCTAATAATACTAATGTAGAACTATTTTGAATGACAGAACCAATTTTTGGTAGTATTAAATACATCCTCTTCCCTAACAAAATAATGAACCTAGGCAAAATTCGTCAAGAACAATTAAAACCACTATGCAAAAACCTAATGAGACATTTTATAATGAATGAACCAACTGATCAACCTTAACATCACAGAAAGAGGGAAAAAACAGACATCATTAACCTCCCAATTCAGTGCAATGGGAAGTACACTATACCACCTATGAAGTATTCTTGCCAAATGAACTGGTATCTGATCAAGATTCCAGAGCTAATTACTGGCTTCCATGAAATATATGGATAGAGGAACATATTAAATCATGCCTCAAGAAAATTAACATAATTAATAATTACTATAATAATAAAATCGATTATTGATTAAATATTTTTAAAAATCATGCCTCAGACTTATAATCGGTAAAACCCAAAATGTGAGAAATGTGTCAAAGGGACAAGAGACTTTGTTTCTGAAATAACAGCAAGAAATAAAAATGGCAAGAAAAGGAAAAAATAAAAAAAAGAAGGGTGACCTATTAAGAGAAACTTAAACAGAAGAAATATGTCAACCAAATGCGATGTGTGACCACCTATTTAGATCTAGTGTTGAACAAACTGTTGAAGAAATATTTATGAGATAATCAGGTAATGTGAATGCCAGATATTTGGTGATACTAAGGAATGACTATTCATCTTTCAAGTACAATATATTGTGATAATTTTTTAAAGATTTTACTCATTTACTTGAGAAAGACAGCAAGAGTGAGTACAAGCTGGGGGAGTGCCAGGCAGAGACAGAGGGAGAAGGAGACTCCCTCCCCCGGCCCCGCCCCCCCAGGAAGGGAGCGTGATATGGGGCTTGATCCCAGGACCCTGGGACCATGACCATGTTCAAGTGACTGAGCCACCCAGGTGCCCCAGCGATAATTTTCTTAAAGCATCCTTTTTAGAGATAAGAATCGCATATTTAGGGGCGCCTGGGTGGCTCAGTGGGTTAAAACCTCTGCCTTCAGCTCAGGTCATGATCCCAGGGTCCTGGGATCGAGCCCCACATTGGGGTTTCTGCTCGGCAGGGAGCCTGCTTCCCCCTCCCTCTCTGCCTGCCTCTCTGCCTACTTGTGATCTCTGTCTGTCAAATAAATAAATAAAATCTTAAAAAAAAAAAAAAGAATCGCATATTTATGACTAAAATTACATGATGTCTAGAATTTGCCTCAATTCAAGAATGGGGAGAAAGGAGCAAGACTACAGATGAAATAATGTGTTGACAGCAGATGAAGTCATTTGATGGGTACGTGGGATTCAGCTCATGTCCATCTCCACGCTTATGTATGTCTCACATTTTCTATGATAAAGCTTAAAAAAAAAAGCAACCTAAAAGATGTATCAATCAAATATAGTGAGTAGTCCACTATTAAAAAAAAAAACCCCAACCCCAACTGTGGAGAAAAAAAAGATTAGGGCGAAAAAAAAAGATATGAGGTAAGCGGGGAAATGTACATACTGATTAAATATGTTATGATATTAAGGAACAACTATTAATATATTTTTCAGGTGTCATATGCTATTTTGGTTACTTTTTAAAAAAATAATCTATCTTTAAGAGACGTAAACTGAAGTATGCACAAACAAAATGATATAATGCCTTGGATTTGCATTTAAATATTCCAAGGCAGGCAACATGATCAGCATTATAGGAATGCCTGGGTGGCTCAGCTAGTTAGGCATCTGCCTTTGGCTCAGGTCATAAACCTGGGGTCCTGAGATCGAGTCCTGCATCCGGCTCCTTGCTTGGCAGGGAGCCTGTTTCTCCCTCTGCCTGCAGCTTCTCCCCCTACTTGAGCGCACACACAGGCTCCCTCTCGGACAAATAAATAAAAAAAATTTTTTTTTAAATCAGCATTATGTAGGTTATAATTGAAATTTAGATGTTGAGGGGTGCCTGGGTGGCTCAGTGGGTTAAAACCTCTGCCTTCAGCTCAGGTCATGATCCCAGGGTCCTGGGATCAAGCCCTCAAGTTGGGCTCTCTGCTCAGCAGGGAGCTAGCTTCCTCCTCTCTCTCTCTGCCTGCCTCTCTGCCTACTTGTAATCTCTGTCAAATAAATAAATCTTTAAAAAAAAAAAAGAAAAAGAAAGTAAGAAAGAAATTCAGATGTTGAAATTACCATATTGTTTGCCTGAAACTAGTATTACACTGTATTTCAACTAACTGGAATTTAAATAAAAACTTGAAAAAAAAAAAAAGGAATTAGATGTTGAGTATGTGGGAATTCATTATAGTACTAACTTTTATATATTTTAAAATACCCTCAATAAAAGTTTTAAGTAAATATGCCCTCTTCTGAAATATCTACTTATTTTGCCTATTTTTATCTTCTACCTATACAAGCAAGATAAAGAATTTAAATTTCGTCTTTCCCTATAACTGAAAGTAGATGGAACGTCAGTTTTCTTGATTTTTAAAAATATAACTCTAAAAATTAGTCTACTGTCCCTACTGTATTTTTCCTAGGTTTCTACTACTGGAATCTCTAAAACATTAATCTTCCTTATAATTCGGGTCGGATACTATGGTAGACTTCTAAATACAAAAGAATAAGAATAATCATACCAAACTATCAAACTAATCTTTTTTACTTCCGAACTCCAGGTTTCCATCATCTGAGATCCTCCCTTAGAATAGATCTAGATTCCTACAGCACAAATCTGGACAAACCAGTGCTGTACAGACTAGTCTTACCCTCTGCAGGATCCCTAAGTCCTCTGTCCGCCATGTTTGTTTTCTAGCTCTTCAGACTTTGGGATACTTTTTGTTAGTGTCTGGTTTTTCTTGTGAAGATGTCTTGTTTTCTTCTTGTCCCAAGTCCCAACAGACTCATGCTTCCCGTGGACCCAGGAAACAAGGCATTTATACAGTGACTAAAATAAAATGAAAAAAATTAAATGACTTTTTATTCATACATGGAAGAAATGCCAATTTCAGCTTTATTTATTCAATCTGTTTAGTTTAAGTAATAGTTCCTCTTTGAAACTTTTCTAGTGAAGAAGAAATGTTTTCTGGCTTTGGTGAGGATCTTCAAATCCTTGACTACAAGTAGAAAAAAGCTTCAGATTATTAAATTTTGCATAGATGCCATAGTCTCCTAATACATTCCAGTGAGTTGAAAGGATGGAAAATGCAAAATGACCAGAATCTTAAAGAGAATGTCTTTGAAAATGGAATAAAAAGTAATTCTAAGAGTAGACATTTAAGTCACTGCTCAGTTAATCATCACTACAGATTTCCTTTATGTCTTCATTTTCTGTCCCATACAAATCTCTCGGCCCATCAGCAGCTTTCACTTATCATTACTAAATAACAATGCACAGGGAGCACACTTACAAACTAAGGTAGCTGCCTTAGTATCAGGAGTAGGAAATACACATTAGGAGTTTTATCATTACCTTCTCAGAGATTCCCTCACAGTATTTTCTTAGATCTCTTTAATGCCTTTCCATATGGTGCTCAAAGAAGACTGATGTATAATTGTGAGTTATAAACAAAAGGAATCAAAATCAGAGGCAATTCATAATCATTAAAATATTTCTATTATCATATATATTATATATATAGCATATATATAATATATATAAATGTTATATATAAAAAATCACATTTTTTTGTCAGGAACAATAATACCTAAAATTACTTAACTTGCCTTTATCTGTAAAAATGATTAAGGACTGCTATGAGGATTAAATACAAAAGTATATGTGAAAGAGGTTTGGAAAGGGTTACATTTTTGATGGCGTAGTTGAGAGGCTAGCCAGTTAACATTTTGTCTTTTTCACCAGCACTCCTCTGTAAAATTTAATTTTACAAGTTAAATACTTTAATCCCAAATGCCTAGTATAATGCCTAGGGTAAAGCAGACTCCCTATTTTAATTTAAAAGAATATGGATAAATAAATGTATGAATGTATAGAGTGGAGCCAATTATAAACGTGAAAGGAAGGGAGGAGTTAGAGACAGGCCTTCTTTCTGCTGGTGTAAACATTCAGAGAGAACATGTCTCAGATTTGGAGAGTTCATGGTCACCCTTTTATCTTCTTCGATCTCCTAAGACTAGGCTTTCAACTCTACTTTTCATTAGCATGATACGTTGCAATGAGGGTTTCTCTCCTATCCTAGGTTCATAATAGGAAATAAAAAGTCCTCAGTCTTTTTCAGATTTGTTACAACACTTTTTTTCTGTTAGCCCAAACCAAGAAAACGATGGGTAAAACTTTCTTATGCACCAGTGACAAAAATTTTAGAAAGCAAAGATGCTATTCATTATAACAATAAGGAATCTCATAATAAAAACTAAAAGATACCTGGTAATAAATCTAACAACAGATATGCAAGAAATTTAGAATGGGGTGAATTTTATGGTATGTAAATTACACCTCAATAAAGCTGTATTTTAAAAAAAGAACTTTAGGAAGAAAAGCATGAAACTTTATTGAAGGACATAAAAAAGACCTAAGTAGAGAGATACATCATGTGCATAGACAGTAAGACTAAACCATTGATGCCAATTCTTTCCAAATTAATCTATATACTCACTGTAAATTGAAACAAAATTGTAAGACAATTTTTAGATTGTTGCATGTTTCTTAGAGAATGGACAGCCGACCCTAAAATTCACACAGAGCAGTAAAGGACTAAAAAGAGGTAGGATAATTCTGAGGGAGGGGGGCTATCTTTGCCCCATACATCAAGACTTATTATAAAACTTACAGTAAATAAAAACGATAGGGCAATGGTACAAGAACAAACAGAACATACAGAATAGAAAGCCAGGAAATATATGCACACATAGATAAAGGAAACTGGCTAAGCGACAAGAGGGAAAGAATGGATTAATGAGTAGTTTGAGGACAAGTGACAGTTTATTTTTTTTTTTTAAGATTTTATTTATTTATTTGTCAGAGAGAGAGAGAGAGATCACAAGTAGGCAGAGAGGCAGGCAGAGACAGAGGGAGAAGCAGGTTCCCTGCCGAGCAAGAAGCCCGATATGGGACTCGATCCCAGGACGCTGGGATCATGACCTGAGCCGAAGGCAGCCGCTTAACCAACTGAGCCACCCAGGCGTCCCACAAGTGACAGTTTAAATGGGAAAAAAATAGATTTCACCCTGCCACCTGACACAAAATCAATTCCAGATTAGAGACCTACGCGTAAAGAGAAAAATTTTCAATTTCTTTATAATCTCACGGTTTTCTTAAAACAAAATATAAAATACACAAACCACAAAGGGGAATTCTGACGTGATCACATTTTAAATGTTAATTTCTATACAAATCATCAAAATCGAAGTTAAAACATAAATTCACGGACTAGAAAAATATCAGCAACACATATAATCAGCAGGGGATTAATATCCAGAACACATAAAGACTCCTAAGAGACAGATAATGCTATGAAAAATTAAGTGGACAAAAGAGTTTAACAGTTTTAACAAATTATTAAAATGAAGAGGAAACCTACCATTCTAATGAATCAATAAGAGTGATCAAGGAAATGCAAAACAAATTAATGACATACAACAGCTTTTTACAACCATTGACTGGCAAAAATTTACAAATAGGGCAATACCAGGTGTTGGTGAGGATATGGATATACAGAGTTCTTAAATGCTACTGGCAACGAGGCAAACTGTTACAACTTTGGAGAGCAATATGGCAATATCTGGTAAAGTTAAGATGTGCATGTTCTACAAATTGTCAACTGCACTTTTAGATTTATGCCTCAGAGAAACTTTCCTGCAAGTGCCCACCGAGGTTGGTGGCAGCATCGCATAAAATGAGCAAAAATGAGAAAACCACATAAATGTCCATTAATAAGGAAGTGGATTTTAAAAAACTGTAGTATATTCTTACAATGTAGTAGTATATATGGCAATTAAAACAATGAATTATAGATCTCAAAAATTTGTAGAAGTACAGCATTATCATTTTTACATACAACTTAAAAAATAAATTTATACTAAAGTGTTTCAAAAGAAGTGAACAAATGGCATAAATAAGAACTACTGATACAAACCACAACACGGATATTATCTAAAAAGTGTAAGTGAAAGTCACACATAAAGGAGTATTATGCCAAATGGTTTCATTTATATGAACTTCCAGAACAGGCAAATCATGGTCTATGGTGACAGAAGATCTATCAGTGGCTCCTGGGGAAAAGAGTACTGACTGGGAAAGGGCATGAGGAAACCTTTTGGGGTTAAGAAAGTATCTCATATCTTTACTGAAGTGTTGGTTACATTTGTCATCAAACTTAAAATCTGTACACTGCATGTACCCTCAATATACTTTATTTCCAGAACTGAACATTATTTCCAAAGACTGAATGCTTTCAAAAATACATTGCCTGCTAACTAGAATGCAGCCAGTACACATTCTGTAAAAGGAACCATCACAGATCTTTCTATAACCTTACAAATGCTCAGCATATACCTTTCTTGTCACCAGGCACACATTCCTGCAGCCCATTTCATTCAGGCCTTTTGTAACATATCACTGTCTTAATAGCTGAAAGGGTATCCCCTCAAGGCTACAAGGAAGAAGTGGTATAAACATGGAGGTTCTCGACACATCCTTGCAAGAAGTCACATGGTGGCGCAGCTAGGAGATCTTGAGGCCACTATTCCCAAAGCAGGTCACCTTTTGAGCGTTGTCCAATCCATATGAGGAAATGGAACCTCTGGACTGATTATTGGAAGTGAGGCAGAGCCTCATCCTGATGGAAAATGGGAATGTTGGAGACATTTTGCAGCGGCAGTAAAAACCCTTCCATAATCATGTCCACAAAAAGATTCCTTTGATGGTATCGTTTGCAAAAATAACTGATGAAGACCCATGTGCTTCATATGGCACAAGAGATATTTACTTTCAGCAAATCCCTTACAAGTTTGTGAAATGTTGGTTTTCAGTGCCCCATACATGGGATGTTATGATTCATTTTGCCACTTCAGTAAAACACAGCCTCACCAATGGTGACTATCTGCACTTCCCTGCGACCCTGAAGCCTGCAGCAAAAGTTGTATCATTTTACTTTAACAGTCTCTGCATGAAGGCTTTAAATAGGATAAAGCAATAAAGTTTTATTCTCCGTTTATGGAGAACGCCATAGATGGTATCCTGAGGGATGCCTTCCTTCATTTCCACATCCTGGGACTTCTCTAAATAGGGACACAAATTTGCCTCCCTACTTCCTCTGCTGCTGTGATTGCCTTGGGCTCTTTTAAGATGTATCCTTTCTGTTCCATCCATTGTACCAATGGTAATGCTCTGACAGCTCGGTATGTGTTCACTGACTGGTACACTGCCTGACCTTTGCACCGCAGCAATTCAACCAAGTTTAGTGGACTCGACACACAAAATGAAGTGTCGTAAGGGGAACTCTACAAACTGGTGCACATTACATCTTTATGCACAAATGTTACTGATGTTACTGGGTAGTAACATATTTAAAGCAGTCGATTGTCTTTTACTGCTCTGTACCATTGTTTAAATACATATAAAATAAAAAATTAAACACAGGAACAGGAAGGATACACATCAGCTTCCATTTGATGCTTGCTTCTGCTGATGGAAGGACCGGAACAGGATGAGGACAAGAACGGGTTCCAACTCTATTTGTCAAGTATCTTAAAAAAAAGAAACTGAGGAAAATGTAGCAAAACATTAATATATTTTAGATCTGGGTACCTGGTGAATGTTATTTTCTGGACTTTTTCTCTATGTTTGATATAGTTAATACTTTTTAAAAATGAGTAATACAATGTATCAGCCTCTGTGAGGAAAAGTAAGAATCAAAAAGGCAGGGCCTATGATGCTAACTCTTTGAGCTCGCAAGCAATGACTTTATGTTACACAGGCACGCTTCAACCACAGCCTCCCAAACATTTTGTCACAACCAGCTGGGAGGAGACAGGACAAGAAAAAGCTGCCTGTGAGAACAATATCAGGGCTGGGAGAGCAGCAGGACTTTACCCAACTTCTACTCATCCTGAAAACCTCTGGTCCCACCATGGGGCTCAGGCAGGAGGGAGGGAGGGGACAGAGACCTAGAGGAGACCTGGGGAATAAGGGGGAGGTAGCAGGAAGCACGGGAATCTGTAACACTTAAGTGATAATTCTTTTTTTTTTTTTTTAAGGATTTTACTTATTGTACAAAGAGGGAGAGCAAGAGGGAGCGTGAGTGAGCATGAGTGGGGGAGGGGCATAGGGAGAGAGAGAATCCCAAGGTGGGGATCAATCTCACGACTCCGAGATCATGACCTGAGTCAAAACCAAGAGTCAGACGCATAACCAACTGAGCCACCCCAGGTGCCCCTATGTGGTATATTAAAAAAAGAGAGAGAGAGAGAATGAATCAGAAGCTTAGCAGCTAAGGACAAAAGAGAATCAGTCAATTCAAGAATGTAATTTAGATATAAATGCCATCATGACTAACATGGCAGTCAGGGCCCAATAAATACATACTATCTTTTTTCTATTTTTAAACACTTTTATTTTTTTAAAGATTTTATTTATTTGAGAGAAAGAGACAGCGAGAGCAGAAACACAAGAAGGGGGAGTGGGAGAGGGAGAAGCAGACTTCCTGCCGAGAAGGGAGTCCTATGTGGGGCTCTGGGATCATGACCTGAGCCGAAGGCAGATACTTAATAGACTGAGCCACCCAGGCACTCCTGCTTTTATTTTAGTAAATGGTGTCATTTTAGGCTCTAGGAAATACAAGCAGGTATCCTGGCCCTCAAACCATTTATAATTCTGCTGTAGAGACAACATACAAAACATACACAACAAAAGTAACTGGTAACATTTATTGAGTGCCTTGTTTATGCCAACAGCATCCAAAGCACTTTATGTACTAATTCATTTAATCTGCACAACAGTCTTATGAGGTCTGGACCATTAATATTCTTACTATTTTACAGACAAGGAAACTGACAAACACAGAGCTTAAGAACCTTCCCCCAAAACACAACTAGTAAAGGCAGAGTCAGGATTGGAACACAATCTGTGTGACCCAAGCTTTTACCCATGCCACTAAAAAAAAAACAAAAACAAAAAACAAAACAAAAAATGCCTATTGTAAACATAGTATAAAGCGCCCCGTGTCTAGTTCTGAATTGTGACTCTGGCTCCTATGACCTGGTTCAACCTACACATAATCTTAAAGTTTTCTCAAACTGCTTGTTTTGGTGCTGCGGAAAGTCTCAGGTGATGTAGTAAATCACACAACAATTACATCTACTACAATAATGACTGTAAACGAGCCTGAGAAATGTGATAAGGATTTGCTTGGGGTCCTCCATCCCTGTAGACTTGTCTTTACACCTAAGACGTATGGCTTAACTCAACTACAGACTCACAGTTATCTTCACTGGAAGGTACTGGTCCTTCATTGGAAGGGACTTAAGAAGTTTCCAGTAATTCAGCATCAAGCTCTAACAATTGGCTTTAATCCCTCTTTCTGCCTCATTCTCCTGTACCTTTTCTAGTTCTAAAGACTTACTACGTGCCCTAGGATTGGCATGTATTATCCCATTTCAAACCCAGAGTAGGAGGTAGATATTACTGCACTACCTATGTGGCAGATAAAGTAACTGGAGAGAGAGAGGTTAAAATGCCCAAACTCATCTAACAGTACTAGAACTTGAAAACACACACAGGCCAGCTGGTTGCAAGACCATTATTTTTCCTATATTATAAGCAATTTTCATGCTGTGTTCTCAGGACTTCGCGGACAATTCCAGGGCCATCAGGGAAGACTGAAGAAACAGAAGGGGTATGGTTCATCTCACTCTTACAGATAAGTGTATCCTGCTGATTGCTACACATTCTTTGGATTCCATGGAATTCTTTTACGCTTCTCTGCTTGCCTGGGCTTCTTTCTCCTCCTACCAAGTAAGAGATAATCTTAACTCAGTTACTCCCAATGCAGGAGAGCCTCCTCTTCAGTAAGGTTATTTCCTTCCCAGGTTACCCCAGCACATGTCTCTCAATATTCCACTCCCAGGTCTGCCATAAAATAACTGGAAGTGGTTTTAACAGTCATTTTAAAAATGGCCACCAATCCATGTAAGCAATAGTATCAATTCTGCCACAGTATGAAGATGATTAATACGGCTCATATAATCTAAAATAGCGGATAACCCTCTACATCATTTGTTGTGAGACTTAATTTTAGGAATATATTTATACTTTATAATTCACTATCTGGAATCATGAATGAATTGGAACATTGTGGAGCACTTTAAGCCAAGTCAAGTCATACTGAGAAGACCAAAGCAGAAGAGCTACAAAGTCCCCTGGATTTTCTGCTTTGCTCCATTTTATGAACTCTGCCACATTATGTTATTTCTGAGAGCTGACCATGTAACAGGTTATGCGATAATACAATCACGTCTGAAGGTATTCTTAAAGTAATTTTTAATATTTTTGATTCCTTTCTCCTGTCCATATACTCACAAAGCTTAGAATGACGCCACACAGAACTACAGCAGTCCTGATTATTTTAATGAGAAACATGTGACTAATAATCTGAACTAGCACAGTCACCCACCTGCAGTCCTACAGGAAACCTCTTTATGTGGTAGCAGCAAAGCACAAGAACTATCAACACCTTGTGGTATTGGGAGTACTCAGTTCCCATCCTTTGAAGCCAGATAACTAAACACCATGGGGGTGCTACTGTTGTACTTCTCGAAGTATCCATAGAGCACCTGGGTAAGAATCTCCTGCACCACTACTTAGAAATGAAGATTCCTGGGCCCTGGAGCAACCGAAGGAATCAAAATTTCTCTAAGATCAAGAAATGTACATGTTTTGAGAAACTCATCCAGGTACTGATTTGGAAATCAACAGTACAAATCCGTCTACTTTTTCTTAACTATTTAAAGGAAAGACTGGTTAAAACAATCTTTGGTTGAAACATTTTGTTGAGGGGCACCTGGGCGGCTCAGTGGGTTAAGCCTCTGCTTTCAGCTCAGGTCATGATCTCAGGGTCTTGGGATGGAGCCCCGCTCTCTGCTCAGCAGGGAGCCTGCTTCCCCCTCTCTCTCTGCCTGCCTCCCTGCCTACTTGTGACCTCTCTGTCAGATAAATAAAAATCTTAAAAAAACAAAAAACCATTTTGCTGATACTTAAAACTGCACGCATGTAGAGTGTTTGTCAGTATGTGTTTGAAAAAAATTTAGGGACCAATAATATTGGTCAAAAGCATTACCCCTAAGTAAATTTTCACTTTTTAGAAAGAGCTTTGGTACCTTAAAGGAGTTCTTAACCGAGGGTTAGTGATAAACTAACTCGTCTTCACTCAATTTAGCAGTCCACACAGTTTATTCCGCAGTAACAGGAGAGAACTTCCATTGCAACAGACATAAGGCAGATACAGGGTAGATCTCTGGGGTACATCCTTTATACAGATGAACAAATAACTTTAGGTCTCACATGTGGCAGGCATGATTTGTTGCATACCAACAGCCATTCATTCTTCCCTTCTCCCTTCCTAAAAGGGCCATGATTTTTATTAGGGGAGACTATGTGCCCTACCCACCCAAGCACTGCTAACCCCATTCCCCTTTGCCAGGTTCCCCCAGCTTATGAACCAGTACTTTCTAATGACACATAAGAAGAAATCTGTGAGGGACTTTTAAGATTTTTTTTTCCCAAATAAAAGACACAGACTTGAAAGGCAAAAGCTTTTGCTTCCTACTTCCAGCCTTTGGGAATGAAATGTCTGAATAGCAACAGCCACACTTATGCTCACCGAGGAAACAACTATGAGGACAAAAAGCCACCATGATAAGGATCCCAATGGCGAAGAACAGAGCGAGCCTGGGACCTTAGAACATTGTTGAGCTGCTACACAAGCAACGGGTTATCTAGGATCTTAGGCGGAATTTAAAAATTGTTCAGTGGCCTCTGAGATGTTTTCAACAGATATTCTAAGTTTTCTCCTGTACTCTAAGTTCCATGATTCTCATCAAGTGAAGGCCAGCATGTGGTCATTGTCCAGCAAGACATTCTTAGTTCTCAGAAAGACGCTTCCTTTAGACCATTCATCTTGTCTGTGGAGTCAAGCTTGGTAACTCCTTGCCACCTATCTCATAGCACAAGTACTTTTCCATTTCCAGGGGAGGACATTCTAAGTTCACTCACCACTAAAACAGGACAGCCTTTGTTTATGTGGCGTCAAGTAAGTAAAGACAGTGGCATTTCTGCATGTTTTTGTGTATCGTATGTAGGTATTACCACTGGTTGATGTATGAGAGGTGGAATTTAGAACAATGCAGTTTCTAATCAAAGTATCTAGCTGTTTTACTGGAATAATCTATAATCCAGCTACAAAGTTGCTTTCCCTGTTACAAAAGTTATCACTAAAAGTATCATTATGGTACACACAGTACAGGGCCTCTCCTCCAAGACCATCCTGTCATAGATCCATAATAAGGCTGTGGAGCTTTTTAGGATGGGGAAGCTAATTCCAAAACATGGGGAACATAGATTAGACTGGTTCTAGATGAACAGCCTGGCTGGAATACTGATTAAATTCATGCTGAACAAAGTATGTGTAGACAATGGGAATAGATCCAACAATTTAAGCAGTTCCCCAAGGGAGTGACAGTTTAGATCAGATTTAGAAAGGAGACATTTTCCCATTCTCCCTTGGGCTACTAGTACAAACTCTAGAGTCTCCATGATTTTGACTGCTTAAGAAGTTACTTGTTTTGGCCAAGTTTTTTGTTCAAGGTTTTGTCCGTTCTGGTCAAGATTAACTGCAATGCAGGGTTAAAGCCAGCTACTCTAGAGTCATGTATCCTTTTTCTAACCAGTGGAGGACCCAGAAGAAACGGGTGGCAAGCTTTTTCAAAGGTCCATCTGGTAAGATTTTGGGGAGCCCACTCCAGTGGGAAAGACCAAGGCAGAACAAGGCTTCTATTAGCAGGATTATCAGGGTAACATTCAGGGCAATAATCAGCTCTGTTAATGCGGTCTAAGAACACCTGGTAACATTCATTTTCAACTAGTTCAGTTTGGTACAACCAGTGGCCTAGTTCTAAACTAGGGAACCACTGCTGTCCACAGTCCGGGCAATGTGAATTATCTGAGAACATCTGGGCCTAGAGAGGTAACACAGAAACCAACGTAACAGTAAAAGGCAACAATGACAAAGAGAGATACCCAAATAACCAGTCCTAGTACAGGTCTGGTTGAGCAATTTCTCAGTCCAACCAACGATACTTGGCGACCGGAGTTAAATTTGGCTTGCACCTCCGTGCAATTCTTCAAGATTTCGTTGTCTATTTTTCACTCAATTGCAACTCAGTCTCTGAACTCAGGGGCCGATCCGTCTACAATGTGATCAGTCACTCACTAGCAGCACAGATCTCAGAATAGCTCCTTCAAAAATCCCAGCTTCTCGAGAAAAGACGGGGCTCTAGGCTAAATTGGTTACTTTTTCTTGTGTGTTATCAGCTGGTGGTGTCATGCAGAGGCACGTGGCTTACTCTGCTTTGCTGGTAAGTTATTATATCTGCTTGGTGAAACAGAGCAGCTGACAGGTCCAATGGGTCTTTTGTGGGCGCTGGCACTTGCCGTTGTAATACACGTACCCAAGTCTTAAGGCCTTGGCACTTTACAGCGATGTAGGGGGGTCAGGAAAACCTGGTAGAGTCCTCTTGAATGTGGATCCAATGAAGTCTTTCTTGGGAAGACCTTAATCGGGACCCAGTCACAGAGAAGTAGCTGATGCTGAGTTGGTTGAAGCCTCTGGGAATGCTTCACATACCTGTAAATGATAAAACTTCAGACGACTCATATGGGCTTTGAGTTGCTCATATTATTATTAGAAACATGCATTTGGAAATCATTTGGACCAGTCAAGGTGGATGAAAATCGTCTTGTGGGTCTCTTTATGACAATTTCATAGGGGTTCACACCAATTTATCCATTGGCAGTTATTCTTATGCTTATTTTGGGCACTAGGAACGGTTTTTTGGTTCACTTAGGATTCATACTAGATTGGGAGGCCTGGGTGGCTCAGTCGGTTAAGCGTCTGACTTCAGCTTAGGTCATGATCTCAGAGTCCTGGGACTGAGCCCCAGGTGGGGCTCCCTGCTCAGTCAGGAGTCTGCATCTCCCTCTCCCTGCTCACGTATGCACTCACGCTCTCTAAGGCTCTCTCTGTCAAATAAATAAAATATTTTAAAAAACTCCTGTACTATCTTAAAATTTTTAGGACTGTATTTCTTTCTTCTACGTCCTTCTGCACTCCAGTAATAGTAAAGTCTATATAATCATATTTAATCTAGTAAAACTCTGAGATTTCTCGTGTATCTTTTCTGTGAAATGGGTACCATATATGGCATTCCTATAATGTGTGGACTAACATTAACAATGGTGACAGCTTTTCTATAATATACTTTAATCCATCCAGGAAAATGCTTATAAAATCATCAGGAGATATTCTTAATAGCTAACTGTAGGAAGTTGGGAGGAAATCTTTCTGAAGGCTAAAAAAGAAACCAAGAGGGGTATGTCTCATTACCCATATCTATCTTCATAGGTTTATGCACATTATATATTTAAGAAAGAAAGTAAGGTATAATCTTGAGCAATAGTTCTGAGCAATTTTTGGAAAATATTTAGAAAATCAGTTGGAATTTGCAGATGCTATCATTATTTTTATTCCCCTTCATGACACTTAATATAGCAAGTAAAAAAACGGTGGGGTTCTAGATGTATGAACAACTACATAGCCACCTAGGGAGTGCTACATATCAGAAAACAACATAAACCTTGCTTTTCTCCAGTGCTCTTTTTTGTGAATTCTGAGGCTTGATCCTGGGAAAGCATGTAGAGACACTGGGGAAGGCATGAGTGCTAAAACTGTACAAAGATTTGGCCTAAAAGCAGAGCAGTAACAGCCTTAGTTGTGGTCAAAGCATCTTCCTTGCAGACCATCAATAGTAGCTGTGACTGTCAGATTTTAAAATGGAAAGTTTAAAAAGGCAACCAAAGAGCCTCTGACAGTGCTGCAACACAGAGCTCCTATTCTGAGGAGAGCCCAGGCTGAGGTGAGGCAGTCAGTGAAGGTGCACTGAAGTATTTTCTGAGGTGAGATAACAATGTATGGGCGTGGGCTACCAACTCAGCCCCTCAGGTAAAGTTAACAGAAGGTGTGGCAGGGTTCCTGACTCAATACCTTTGTAGAGACAATATGGGGCATAAAAGATTTCCCCAAGAGCCTACTGACAAGAGCCACCACAGTAAAAAAGTGTCAGTTGCTGAACTGGGAAATCTTCCATGTTTAGTACATGGCACAGACAGATGATGAATAAAACCCACACAACCATGGGGTTCAACATAAAAGTTAGTAGTAAAGTTATATGGCTAAGTCTAACGTTGAAAAGATAAAGAATTTTGGATTTTTTGAGTGAAAAGGGGATATGCAATTGAAATCACAACAAGATACTATTTCACATCCACCAGACTGGCAAAAATTAACAAGGCTGACAACTGGGGCTGTATACACTCTAGGCAAAACCACCCTCAGGATTCCACATCTCCACTGGCAGTGTCAGGAGGGAGCCCTAAAGCTGGAAATACTCAGAATAAACCCACCTTTCCCCCAACTTTTATCTCTCCAACTTCAACAGTCAACAAAGCATTAGAGCTCCAAATACTCCTCCAATTAAGAGAATTCTAGTGTTCCTTATGTTTCAGACAAGACAGCCCCTCCCCTGGTCCTCTAAAAACCACTATGGGCAAGTGTCAAAAGGGGACCCCAAAGCACTAAGTGCTCACATTAAGATTACTTGCCACCATCCTCCTTGTTCACTCTTAGCCTTACCACTAACGGATGAGTGAAGAGGGCCTCTTGAAAATGGTCCCGGCGTTATCCTCAAACCCCACCCCACCCCCACTCACAGCTTCACTACCCTTATGGCCGACCAATCTCATCATACTGTATCTCTGTTCATACTGACCACTAAACGAAGCTCAGGGCTTCCTGGTTGTACCTCATCCCCTTAATCTCTAATCCCCATATACAGCCAAGAGCAGCCAAGGTAACATCCCCTTTTCCTTGCTTTATATTTTCCATTTTGATATATTAAATATTTTAGGGCTTTGTTTCTACAAAAATACACACTCCTTGAGAACAGCGCTTTTTGCCTTTATTTACTGTTGTACATGACCCATAAACATAAAAAGAACGAAAAAACATCATGTGAATCCTTATACCATAGAAGCATAAATTAGTACAACCATTTTTGGAATTAATCTGGCATTATCTAGTAAAACTGAACATATACGTGCCTCCTATAACTCAGTAATTCCACTCAAGTATATACCCTAGAAAATTTGCACATTTGTGCTTAAACATGTGAATGAAAATATTCATGGTAGTACTGCGTGCAGTAACAAAACAGCCAAAATGGCCATGAACACTAAAATGGATAAATAAATCGAGGTACAGGCATACCTCGTTTTACTGCACTTTCCTTTACTGTGCTTCTCAGATACTGTATTTTCAAAACATGAAGGTCTGTGGCAACCCTGCATCACCAAGTCTGACTGCACCATTTTTCCAACAGTATTTGCTTGCTTTGTATCTCTGTGTTACATTTTGGAAATTCTCACAGTATTTCAAAACTTTGCCATTATTAATTATATTTGCTACGGTAATCTATGATCAGTGATCTCTGATGTTATGACTGTTACTGTTTTAGAGTATCTGAGACCATACCCGTAGAAGATTGTAAACTTGATAAATGTCTTTTGGTGTTCTAACTAACTAACTTGCTCCCCTGACTCACTGTTCCCCCATCTCTCTCCCTCTCCTCGGACCTCCCTATTCAGAGACACAACAGTACTGAAATTAGGCCAATTAATAACACTACAATGGGCCCTAAATGTTCAAGTCAGAGAAAGAGCTTCATGCCTCTCACTTTAAATCAAAAGCTAGAAATGATTACACTTAGTGTGAAAAGCATGTCCAAAGCTGATAGGCTGAAAAACAAGGCCTATTGCCCCAAACAGCTGAGCTGTGAATGTGAAGGAAAAATTCTTGAGGGAAATTAAAAGGGCTGCTCCAGTGAACACACACATGATAACAAAGTGAAACAGCCTTCTTGCTGATATGGGGCAAGTTTAAATGGTTTGGTTTGAAGATCAAACCAGCCACAACATTCCCTTAAGCCAAAACCTAATCCAGAGCAAAATCCTCTCTTGAATTCTACGCAGTCGGAGAGACGGGAGCAAGCACAGCAGAAAGCAGAAGTCTGAAGCCAGCAGAGGTTGCTTCATGAGGTTTAAAGAAAGCTGTCTCCATAACACAGTAACAGTGCAAGGTAACGCAGCAGGTGCTGATGGAGAAGCTGCAGCACGTGGTCTGGAAGATCTAGCTAACTTACTGAATGAAGGTGGTTACGCTAACAGCAGATTTGCAATGTAGATTAAAGCAGCCTTCTACTGGAATAAGATGCCATCTGGGACCTTCAGAGCTAGACAGAAGAAATCAATGCCTGGCTTTAAAGGACAAGCGACTCTTGTTAGAAGCTAATGCAGAGGCGACTTTAAGTTGAAGCAGCCACTGCTCATTCCAAAAATCCTAAGGCCCTTACGAATGATGCTATATCTACTCTGCCTGTGCTCTAGAAATAGAAAACAAAGCCTGAATGACAGCACATCTGTTCACAACATAGTTTGCTGAATATTTTAAACCTACTGTTGAGGCCTACTGCTCAAAAAGAGATTTCTTTCAAAATACTACTGCTCCTTTAACAATGCAACTGGTCACCCAAGGGCTCTGAGGGAGATGCACAAGGAGATTAATGTTGCTTTTGTGCCTGCTAACACAATGTCCATTCTGCAGCCCACGAATCAAGGAGTAATTTAGACTTTCAAGTCTTATTACTTCTGAAATATGGCTATGGCTGCCACTGGAGAAGGATTCCTTTCATGGATCTGGGCAAAGTAAACTGAAAACTTTCTGGAAATGATTCTCCATTTTAGATGCCATTAAAAACATTCCTGATTGGGACGCCTGGGTGGCTCAGTTGGTTAAGCGGCTGCCTTCAGCTCAGGTCATGATCCCAGTGTCCTGGGATCGAGTCCCACATCCGGCTCCTTGCTCGGCGGGGAGCCTACTTCTCCCTATGCCTCTGCTGCCACTCTGCCTGCCTGTGCGCTCGCTCGCTCTCTCTCTCTCTCTCTCTGGCAAATAAATAAATAAAAAATATTAAAAAAAAAAAAAAAAAAACATTCCTGATTCACGGGAAAAGGCCGAAATCAACATTAATAGGATGCTGGTAGAAACAGATTCCAATCCTTATAGATGACTGAGGGGTTCAAAACGTCAGTCGGAGGAAGTAACTGCAGATACGATGGAAATTGCAAGAGAACAAGAATTAGGAGTCAAACTGAAGAGGTGAGTGAATTGCTTTAATTTCGTAATAGAACTTCAATGGATGTGAAGTTGATTCTTATGGATGAGCAAAGAAAGTAGTTTCCTGAGATGAATCTATTCTTGAAGATGCTGTGAAGACTGTTGAAATGACAACAAAAAATGTTAGAGTATTACATAACTTCGTTGATAAAGCAGTGGCCGGATTTAAGAGGATTGAGTCCAGTTTGAAAGAAGTTCTACTGTGGGTAAAGAAGTTCTACAATGGGTGAAGTGCTGCCAAACAGAATCACACGCTCTACAGAAATCATTCATAAAAGGAAGACCCAACTGATGCCCCAAACTTCACTGGTGTTTTATTTTAGGAAATTGCCACAGCC